TTAGAATTTGTAGAATTTTTTAAAGATTATACACACGATATTCTTTGTACATATCAATATTAATATATATGTATCTAATAAGTATTTTATATAGTATTAATTAAGAGATTATATACACTAATTTTAATCAATTAATTTAATAAATTTATATTAAACTGTCCTAAGGTATCTATCTAATGTACAACTAGTATTTATTACTGTTTGTAATTAATATATTTTAAATATATTTTAAAATATAGAAAAATATAAAAATTATAAAATATATTAAAATTAAACATATTTTACAAATATATTTACACGATGTTACGAGAAAGTAAAAGAACAATTCAAAAATTAATTTTATGTGTTGCTAATACAATTTTATACAATCCTGTGTAATTTGTTTTATATTCTTCTTGCGTATAGAATTGTATTTTGTACCATATTGATTTAATTATACATATATATTTTTTCTATTCTGCAAACAAAATTCTTTCAACAAATCCGAATAAATTTCATGATAAAAACTGCAGATGAGAGAATGGAATCATTATCGTATTATTGAGGTCAATGTTACGATCTTATAAATAACTGTAGCACAGTGGTTATCCTTGCCAAGTAACGCAAGAAGGTTTCAGGAAGTTGCTAATACTATCACGGATCACATTATAATCAGTCTGTAGAATTTGGAATAAAATTTTAAGTTGCTTATAAAATCATTATTTTGGATACATAGTTTTCTATTACATTAGCAACATATAAAATAAAATGATCGAACAAACCTTGATATTAAAACTAAAAAAAAAACTAAAAGAGAAAGACGTAGGAAAAATGATATACATTTTGAAATATATATAAAAAATTACGCAAATTAGAGTATTTATTGTTATTCCTTTATACAATTTTTAATTATTGTAGAAAAAAATATTATCAATTTTTATTTACGCAAGATACTGTTACATATAAAAGAGATACTTTTTCTTTTAATAGTATACTTTATATGCATTGTATTTATGCATTTTGTACAAGATAATAATATAAGTAGCACGAGTCATATAGCTTTCAATTAAATCCTAATAAACATATTTAACATTTAAACACATTTTTTCATTAAAACTGATTTGATATTTAAAGAGAATCTTTGCCTATAAATCGATTGCCTTCAGCATTGTTTACCTACATCATATTTGCGATTATCTAATATGCATCTATTTCGCACAAATATAAAATTAAGAGGAAAAGGTATTTTTGCACATATAATACATTGTGTGATATTGCACACAATCTGCATTGCACACATAATATTATCGTCTACAGATTGATTGCATACAAGCACTTTTGCGCACAAATAAAAACTTCAGAAACGAAGTTTCATTTGCCTGCATGTATTATTGTAGGCAAATGTGATTTCGTCTTTGATGTTTATTTTTGTGCGCAATAGTGTATATAGGCAAACAATAGTAATTGTAGGCAATTGATTTGTAGGCAAAAGGAATCATCTCGAATATCCAAGTATATTTATCGTAAATATTATATATAAAATATTTAATCTGTATTTTAATAATACTTCGATATTTATTATATAAAATATTTATATGATATTTATATGATATTTTGAAAAAATAAATAGAAATAAATATTTATTAATACCTATCAATATCTAAATATTCTGTGCTATCTGAGTTTAGATGTGAAGGTCTGATTGGAGGATTTAATTCTGTCATTTGTACGTAAAACCTCACCTCATTCTCATCAAAAAGATATACACTCCTGTTCAGTTAGCATTAGTATTTTAAGTGAATATTGTACAATCAAAGATAACTATGTGGGAGGAGGAAAAGAGAAAGAGAAAAGAGGAGATAGAGACACATACAAACACGCGTGCGCTCATATATAAGTTTTATAAATCCGATCGGGCAACCTCCACGCGATATAGCTTAGATAATGTTAATATTAGCGATATTATAACTTTCAAGTCTCATAACTCGAGAAGTATTGATTAAAAAAGGCTTTATCATAGTATAACTGTTGTGTGTTTCGCGGGTTTTCTCCGTGTCTAGATCCATTCTTGGAATGCCAACGTTTCGTGAGCCTTGCAGTTCACTTCATCAGGGCGAGGAGCAGCCTGATACTTGGAATGCCAACGTTTCGTGATACTCAGTATCAGGCTGCTCCTCGCCCTGATGAAGTAAACTGCAAGGCTCACGAAACGTTGGCATTCCAAGAATGGATCTAGACACGGAGAAAACCCGCGAAACACACAACAGTTATATAGAAAGCACCCGTGGAAGTCTCAAGAATAGCTTTATTATAGTGTTTTGAAAATTTCTTGACACCAACTATTAGAATTCTGAAATAAAAAATAGCGTTTTATTAAAAAAAAATCGATTTGACTTTGGCCTGATCTTGGTAGCACCACCCAAGATAAAACTTATAAGAGCAATAAATAAATCATTTTAAACCTTACAACTTTTGTATGAAATATTTTTCTTAGAAATGCTTACTTTTTAAGGTATTTAAGAAATTCGGGACTTTTTGTACATCCTGCATATATATAATATCCATGTGATTCTATCGGATAAAAAATAAATTATTGGAAACAATTTTCATAATTATTTCATAATTATTTAATCGATTGCCCTTATTTATAAAACGTTTATCGAATCGCTAAAATGATCATTGCAGTAATAATATCATTATACATATATAATAAGGAGAAAGGCATATTATGCGTTTATATTACATGCTTGACACAAACGCACAATCACTTAATCATTTTTATATTTTTTTCAGATTATTACTTTCTTCTTTTATTCATGATAATTATTTTTTACGCGATTGTGTTAATATATGACATAACACAATAGAATAAATTTTGATCAATGTTTTATTTCTCAACAAATAATGCGTTTCTTGTGGGATGTTTTACTGAAAAAGGATACGTTTCTCAAACAATTCCATCACTGTTCAATTTTTAGAAAATTGTATAAGAAAATTATATTTGTTTTGAATTTCTTATATAATAACGCAAAATGTGATGTAATATAAATATAGTATAGAGCTATAAGAAAAAAATTTTTTAGATTATATGAAAATAAATGTGACGATATAAAATCTCGTTTGTATACAATTTTAAATGATATATTAAATTAAGTAATAAAATTTTTAATATTAAATCTACACTGATTTATAAGGTTTTTATTTCTCTACATCTGAATAGTGATTTTATGCTTTACTCCGTAAAGCAAAAAAATAAGTTTAAATTGTTTAAAGTTATTTTTTTTAAATAAAATGCTTAACGTCTTAAAATCTAATGGAATTTTTGTAACCTTGTATTTTTTTTTATCAACAGTTAGGAATAAAAAACATACATTTAGATGTTGAGAAACAGAAACCTTATAATACAGTGTACTAACGATGAGTATTAATAATGCCTTTAATATTAATATTATTATTTGTTATGAACTGTTTGTTTTTAATAATATTATTTGCTAGGAAGATACTATGATAAAATAATTGAAATTGATCCATACAAAGTTCTTGCATGTTCATTTTTTTGTATTTTCTATTTACATTTCTTATTTATAAATAGATATATAAAAATATTTATAAATAGATATATAAAAATATTTCTCGTTTCCGTAATATGTAACATTTTGTTTTGTGTCGATAAAAATTTAAAAAGAAAGATGTAGAAATGAATAAGAGAGAATAAAGGAAGTATTATCTTCGTATTATGAAGCAAAATTTTAAAATCACGTGTTTTTAAAATATTTTTATTAATTAAAATTCTATTATTTACAAAAAAGTATAAATTAATAATCATTTGACTCAGCACCGTCGCATTTAATATCTACTAGATAATAGATCGCGCGTAAAATGGGTTTTTATTGCAATATCTTTTCGATTATAAATTATATTTGTTTGTTATCATATACATCAAGAAAATATATTTTTTAATTATATTCAT